AAACATCCAATTATTCAACGAGGCTCTTATCCTGAAACAGATATGGAGGCTCCTCAGTATGCCCAACCTGTTAGTGACTAAAATTCTAAAATGTAAGTATTTTCCAAGGGGTACTGTACTTGAAGCTCAAAGATCTCAAAGCTCATCATGGATGTGGAACTGTTGGATGGCAGTTAAAAACTGTTACCTGCACTGCTTCAGAAGGGATATCAAGGATGGACTCAATACCAAAATTCTCAAAGACCCTTGGTTGGTAGGCTCAGAAACTGGTGTTCCAAAATTCAAAGGTGGCTGTACTCAACAGGTCACAATGGTGTCAGAACTTTTTGAGGAGGGAGGTTGGCATTGGAATGTTGATACATTAAAGAATCTTTTTGATGAATATGTTGTTGCTCAAATTCTAAAAATGAGACAGCTTGACCCTACCAAAAGAGATAGGTGGATATGGAGTGGTGACAGAAAAGGTGCATTTTCTGTGAAGTCTGCTTACTTTTTGTTTGTGTGGAAAAAACTTCTTTACTGGATAGCTTAAGGGAGCAATTCTGCAGTGAAAGACAATATGGCTAGAATGAGATGCTGGAGTCTGAACATCAAAGAAAAATTAAAACACTTTGTGTGGAGAAGTTTCTCGGGTTTGTTGCCAGTAGCTACTTTACTTAGAAGCAGAGGCCTTGATGTGGATGGTATTTGTAGGTGTTGTGGAGAGGTGGAGGAAAGCATAGTCCATGTTCTTTTCCACTGCAGAAGGGCTGAGCAGGTTTGGGAAATGTCAGCACTAGATTGGGAGTTTTGTAAGCAGAAAACATGGTCATATCCAGATTGGTGGTGGCACGTTGCGGAGATGGACAAAACTGAGACATCGGAAGCGCGCATTCAACTATCCACCTACATCCTTTGGTGGTTGTGGAAGGCGCAATCTATGGGTATTTCGAAAGGAATGGATACCGAGCAAGCTGATCGTGGATAATGCATGGCGGGAATGGGTCGAGTTTAATAACAGGCTGGCAGTTTAAGGGTGTGCAGGGAGTCATGGTTGATTAGGTCACTTTATGTTTCAGTTTTCAATCGTGCCTCTTTGTATAGGTTCTTCTAAATATTTGGCTGCATCTGTGTGTGTTAAGCTATAGGTTCCGAGGGTTTATCCTTGCCTACAGGCTTAGTTGATTTATTATGTATTTAGGGCACCGATTGTGGTGTTTCCTCCAGTTATTTGGCTTATTATGGGACTAGTGAGTCATACGAGTTGTATGAACTATGTTGATTTTTAGTTTAATGAGATATTTTGCCGTTTAAAAAAAAAAAACCAATGATCCAATACCTCCACCGGTTTTTAGAACCTTGACTTGAATACAAGATCATTCTAGCTCTCTAAAAATCTCCAGAGCTACCAAGTATAACCATTTAAACCTATTTGCTGTCTTCTGTATCTTGAATTTCTAAAATAATTGAGGTGAGGCTGCTTTGTTGAACTATACTGATACTGCCGCGCGCACACTTGCACCCTCCAATCCGTGCTAATCGACCTGTTGTCAGACTTCGTTTTTCTTAGGTATCGAAGTTTTGTAATTTTCAGTTGGGTGATTTGTTTGGAGGACGTTTTGCTTCAGGCAAGGGTTCCTTTTGCTTCTCAAGGTCACACGTTTGCCAATGTTTTCACTTTTTGATGGGTTTAATGGCATTTGTGTCCCGTTAGTTTCAGGCCTTTTGTTTCCAACTCTGATTTGAACGAACCTGTTCCTCTAATGATTTAGGAGTATTTTTGTATTTGTGGCGTTGATATTTAGGAGTGTTCTGTTATGTATCTTTCCCTGCCTACATGCATCATGTGGCTATTGTAATCACGGCCTATCTTGTCTTGCTGAATCTGTTTCTCCTAGCTATAATTTGCGTAAAGTTTTTTTTTTTTTTTGTTAATTTATTTTATCTATGAGAACACCTTTGTCTGCTGGCATTTGACAACCCCGCGAAACACAAACTTGAGGGGTTTAATACACCTGACGGTAGGGTGGATTTTAGAATATTGCTAGTTCCACTTACATGCAATTTGCTATTCATAGGATGAGGTCAATTTGCACCTAGTAAGTCTTCAATTTAGTATCCTACTTCTACTGATTAAAGAGAGCTAAATATGATTTGGAGGTTAGTATTGTGAGAACTGCAAATGGAAGGTCCTTTGGTCTTTAGTCTTTACCATGAATCACGCTATCTATTAACCTATGTACTAATTTGTTCATGGCGTTGATTCTCGATGCACAAATACCCATCTTGTGCAGATGGAGATTGAAAATTGAGAAAATTACTCCCTACACCATATATTTTATTTTTTATTACACAATTAAACATCTATAGTAAATATTAACAATCCTACCTAAAATCATGTTTTTATTTGTAAATATACCAGAAAACATCTATCTATATTATATTAGTTAATGATGAATTAAATCATCAATTACATATCTTTAAGGAAACAAATAATTTCTCTTCCCCCAATTACGTTTCTTTCTCCCTATCTCTCTTATTCTTCTCTCTCCCCTTCCATCTCCCTTCTCTTATTCTTCACTTCAGCCCGTAAGATTAACCTTCCCAACCTCTCGTTTTTCTTTTGACATCGCCGACGAACAACCCTAGATCCGCTCCTTCCTTCCCAGAATTACTTTTCGTTCCTTCTCCATCCCACTTGCAGAAGTCTGAACATTAGGGTTCATGGCGGAAGTCCGAACATTAGGGTCCAGGCGTGGAAGGGAAAGACAGAGAGAAAATGATGATGAAAGCCGTGAAAAATCAAGTACAAGAAGGGAGGAGAGGAAGAGGGATTCTGAAAGAGATGACAGGAGCAGGATAAACTAAAAAGAAGATGAGAATGAAGAAAATGGATATGAAGGATTAATTGTATGTATATATATATGTATGTATATGGGCATCGATGAGAAAGAGATCTGATTCAATATTAAACGTAGTCCCTAATGCGGTGTTTGTATATTTTCTGTATATGTTCTGTATATAATGACAAGATTGATTTATCTTTTGTGTATTTTCTTTTTTATGTCCTATGTATACAATGAATATATCTTCTGTATACGTTCCCGACAAATATACTGTTATTTAGTATATGTTTCGTTTATACTGATACACTTTTCAATCTTTATATACTGTATAGACTTTTAACTAAGTTTTTAACTAATCAACTGTATATATTATATGTATATGTTGAGTATATAGAACCGCAACAATTATTTTTTTTTTAGAATATATTACGGGATAGTATCAACAAGATCGATTGAATTTTGGAACCTTCTTCAATTTTGTTGCGTCATACGATAGGTAATATACACATTCCATTTATTTTTTATTTTTATTTTTTGCAAATAAAACGGCTCATTCAAATCCTATTATTTAAGGAGAGTGATTTATGTTTGTTGAGGTAACCGCAACATTTAATTTCCACACATTAGGTAAACTTACAAATTAATTAATTCACTTGGCAATATTGTAATTAAATAGTAAATGCTGTGTAGAGATAAAATTCTCCCTTGAAAATTTAGTTTTCTATGCTTGGTTTGTGTTAATGAAGTCCAAACTTTCGCATGTGGACTGGTTGAGTAAGGACGAATGAGGTGCTACTGATTTATCAATGTGAGCCCAACAAATAAAATATTGTTAACCAAATCTTGTTTGCCATTGGTTAGTTGGGGAAGTTAATCCCTAGGACAAGTTATATCTCCTTTCCGGAATTACTGATCCATTTTCCAGCAAACATCTAGATGGCCAAGATTTTTCCCGAATATTATTTTTTTAAACCAAATCTTGGAAACAAAAACAAAAACCTTGTTTGGTTGTTAAACATGTTTTCAATTTTCCGTTTCTGTCCTCTATCCTTCACCCTCAATACTGGTGTTCTTTCGCATAGCTATTGTTTGGAGTCACTTCAGCTATGTGAAGTGTAAGTAGTAGAAGTTATAGTAAAGAGGAGCAGCAATGATAGTTGGTAATTGGCAGTGATGGTGATGGGCGTTGGCACTATAGGAGAACAAGAAATGCAAAAACAAATGAAAAATGAGAATTGGAGAGAGAAGAATATGTAAATCGAGTCGTGGGAAAAATAATGGAGAAAAGGGGAAAGATTGAAGAAAAGAGGTAAAGGAAAGGTGATTATAAAGGAAACTATAGGGTTTTGGATATAGGGACCTGGGATAATTCTGTTCTACTCTCGTTTTAAGTATCCATCAAAAACTGAAGAAACACTTGATGTCCTTAATATCCATAGAGGTCAGCATGAAATTGTTTGAATAGATTAGGCCTATGTGCAATCCATTATGTAAAAGTGTGAGGTGCGTTTGGGTCTCATAGAGATTAAGCCGGGTCGTAATTTTACCATTTTAGCTAGGCTAATTTTTCTTCTGATAAAATTTTGCGGACAGTGATAAGACACTCATGGAGAGCTGTCATAAATTTCATGCATACTTGGCTCTCTTGTCCACAGTTCTTCTATAGAGCTAGATTGCTTGCAAGTTTCACAAATAATATAAAGAAGTGAAGCAAAGCGAAGGAACATTAATCATCAAAAAAATTCTTTAGCATCAAACTTCAGATTTCAACCACTATTAAATGAGCATGAGTACTGTGATTCTTATGATTTAGCTTTGCATTGTTACATAATAGTACATTCCAGCTCTTCTTATATCATCAAATAGAATTATTATTCTCAATTCTTGAATTTAGGTCTGCCGGGTGTAGACAACTGTTGACAGTGAACCATATCAAAGTGTCGAATGATATCAACGGGATATATTGTAGATACATTCCGTCAGAATAAACCATTCATTGTGACTTTTTTTCTCGAATGGACAATTAAAAGAATATTTGTAATGGGATTTGTGCCTGAAATAGTTTTTCTCTTTCCATTTCCTATATACTGGCTCAATATAAACTTTCTGTCTTTTATTACAGGTAACGAGATCACCAATATTTCCTTCTCGATCCTATAAGATTCTCTAAAACCAATGGCCAAGCATCATCCTGATTTAATCATGTGCCGGAAGCAGCCCGGGATTGCGATTGGGCGTCTTTGTGAGAAATGTGATGGCAAATGCGTAATGTGCGACTCGTACGTGCGCCCCTGCACCCTTGTCAAGGTGTGTGATGAGTGCAACTATGGCTCGTTTCAGGGCCGCTGTGTCATCTGTGGTGGGATCGGTATATCAGACGCGTACTATTGCAAGGAGTGCACGCAACAGCAGAAAGATCGAGATGGGTGTCCCAAAATAGTAAACTTGGGAAGTGCCAAAACTGATTTGTTTTACGAACGTAAAAAGTATGGCTTTAAGAAGAGATGATGTTCTCTATTTTTGGTGGCATTTGATTTTTATGGATTTATGAGCATTGGTGGCCTGTTTGGATTTTGTGTTGTATGATGCTTTTGTCTTTGGGTGAGGCCGTGGCCGTGGTTAGGATTTCTGTTGAGGAAGAGAGTTGGTAGAATGTGCTTGGATATAAGTTTGAGATTGGATTTTATGGTTTTTTTATTTGTTAGTCATAGTTAATTGAAAAAAAAAGAAAAAAAACTTTGATTGAGTTAGGTTTAAGTAGAATTTTAAACTTGTATTAAAATAATATTTAAAATAAAATAATTAAAGTTGATTTATTTAAAAATAAGAGAGATGTGATTGGATGTGATGGTCTTAAAATTATGAGAGTTGATAAATAATGCATTAAACTTGATCTGTGATGTGTAAATATGATGAATTGATATTATTTAATTCTATTGATAATATTGAAAGTAATAGAATTGATTTAAAATTGAATTAGATTTTGAGTTAAGGAAAGCGATGCATGAAAAGTGAATGGATATTGTTTGGTTTTCCGTCTCCGTCAAAATCTTTGGGTTTTATACTGATATTATTTTTATTAATGTACTTAATTTAAAATTATATATAAAGAATTAAAATAAAATATTGGGTATAATATTTTACCTTCATTTCGTTCGTACCCAATGACTGAGAAGCTTTTCCTACCGTGTATTTTCGTGCCAAGAAAAAAGAAGGAGGGCTCACAAACTGAGGATGCTGGGGGGTTTTCATGACGTAGATCTTCCCCGAACTACACTGAAAGGACTACTGAGGTGAGAAGGAATGGAGCCCTGACACGATCAACATAGGAATTTATGACACCGTCAGTGTATGTCCCTTCATGTATACTATGTCCTTTCCACCTTGATCTCATAAAGCTTCCCTCTCTCTTTTTTCCCTTGGGACTTTCTGTCTATATTTTCTTTTCAACTACGTAAGTCTGCTTCCGTCATTGTTTCCAAAAGGCTTGATCGTCTTTCATTTGGATAGTGAGTCGTTTTTATAATAATAAGTCAAGTCAAGAATAATAATCGACACTAGATATAGTCAACTACAAGGTCAAATAGAAAGACTAGTAAATATAAATATATTATCCTCTCATGGGCCACTCTTGTCACGCATCCGGGCGGGGCAATCATGTACCAACAACCCTCTCTCGTTGTGCTATCCTAATCTTTTCTTTTGCAGGCCTTTCAATTGCATCTAGTTTCAGACCATACGCGAGATAAGCCATTGTAAATGCTGTCAAGAGGTAAGTCTATCCAATTGCTTTCTAGTGCCTTACCGCCAGNTCTCCTTCTTTCCTCTCGCATTGGTCGAGCTACCTTCTGTCACCCACATACATGTCCTTTCATTCTATCTAATTGAAAATCATGTCCTTTAAGTCTATCCAATTGTAAATCATGTCCTTTCAGTCGAGCGATACTTGAGGTTCGTCGGAGACTTTGAGAGTACTTAGAGAAGCTCATTTCGCTGCCATGTTTAATGTTTGGGGATTTTAATGATGTGGTTCACCTCTACCATTTGAGCTACATCCCTCATATACACATAGAAGAGTCTGTCAATCTAATGTGGAAATGTTGTCAGTTGTTACACCAATCGTGCAATCCCCTATTTCGATATGTCAAAGGGACCATGTTTTGTGGACATGAGTACTAGTCAACTCCCCGTAAAGACCTTTCTTTCAAGTTTGTTTGAAGGAAAAATTTATGTGCCCGAGTAATGCAACTGCTAGTGATGGATTATCGGCTATCATAGAAGGAAAGCCTCGTCATCTTTCTTTTCTCTCTCTGTGATAAGAAATCGTATCAAATGCTATACATCACGTTTTGGCTAGACTAGAGAGGCGGGAATGTAACACCCCGCTTCTTAGAGTAACTTTTTCGCAACTTTTACTTCGAAAATACTTATAAATCTTTCGAAATCTTTTGCGAATAACTCGGGATGCTACTCAACATCATCTTCATGAAAATCCGTTTATCTTTAATTCTGAATGGTAAAAAAACAGATTTATTCAACTTGCATTTAACTGTACCATATTCATAATTCTGAATGGTAAAAACTTGAAATCTAAAATTTATTAAAATGCAAAGTCAAATCTTAATATGCATAGCGGAAATATTTGAAAACGTGATTAATTATACAGACTGTTTTAAATGTCCATATTAAAACTTGTCATAATCTGAATCCACGATCCACACCATCACTGCTCCACTCACACCTCCTCTTCGACCTGTTACCTGAAAATAAACTTATGGGGATGAGTACTGAATAAAGATAATCATAAACCGATATCTGATTGGTAACCAGGAATCTGTTCTGGTACTGAAACTTAATCTTTTTTTTTCCTCTTCCGATATCTGATCGGATACGTGTGCACACTCTGATGGATATTTCTCAAGGCAACTCAACCGCCCTCCATCAGAACTTAGGATATACTCTGAGACAACTGAATGCCTCCTCATCCCAAGCGTATAAATCAGAACTTAGGATATACTATGAGACAACTTATGGCCTCCTCATCCCAAGTATATAAACTTAAACTTTTATCAATATCGTACTCAATGTGATACCCACTCCGGGTCCCCACCTTTCTTCTTTGAAAGCATTTGAAAAACGATAAGTGCTGTACTGGGTAATTGTATCTGCAAGTTACATAAAATATAAACAAATATACTAAGTACTATGCTCGTATATCCAATAAGATACTAGGATTCTTAACTTATCCAAATCTTATAGAAATTTAATAGACATGCTATTGCTCAAGTTAATACTTAACTTAACTTTTCTTGAACTTTTACTCAAGGTCTATTATAAATCATGTCTTCAAAATCATAGTTATTGGCTTATACTCGTATGTCACTTAAATAACTCGAGTGTGAAAATAACTAAATTTCACATTATACTTGATTGAGTATTTAAACTCAAAACATGCTTAACTTTTACCAATATCATATTCATGATTTATAAATAATGAACTCATCTTAACTTGTATGGTACTAAATATTTCAACTTAATACTCATACAATACAACTTTTAATCATAATACTAAATTATGATTTTAATATGTGAGATTTAAAACTGTAACGCCCCACGTTATTTTGAAAGATTTATCAAATTAATTTAATAAAAATCACAATAAATTTTTCGCAAAAATCTCAATTAAATAAAAACTTAGTGGACGCTACTTATTTTACCNCAACTTTCAACATGAGTCCATGAACTAAGCGGAAGCATAATTAATAAAGCAATAATAAATGACATAACCACCACCCGTCTTGTCTCGTCAACCGCCAACTGCTTAACCTGCATCCGTGAAGAGCAGGTGGGAGTGAGTACAGTTAAACAACGTACTCACACTATGCAATGCACATTTCATATTATGTTGAATAGGCATGGTCGCAGCATGAACATAAACAATATCACATATGTCACATCTCCAACATAAACATAAATACTCCTGTGCACATCTTTCATGATAGTCGCGGAAAGGGGATTCATTACCCTAACGGCGAGAGTACGTGCCACGCAAGGACACGACCTTTCATAATAGGTCTTAAGGAGACTTGCCTCGCAAGGGCAACCGTATTACATCGATGGGGACAACTGTACCGATGGCTATCATAATAGCTCACATCAATAGGCGACATATTCACGTTCATACATAGATCACGCCAAAACCGTAAACATATTTAAACACACATTGCACAGGTATTTTATAATAACTAACCCATCTGGATTCCGGATTGATAATAACTCAAAGCAATGGAAGTAGGTCGAAGCTGGACTCCTCAATTACCTACATTGGGTCAAGATGCTACAATCAACATCTATCTTGACTTTCAACGGAAAACACAAATCAGACTTAGTCGAACTTGTTTCGACTAAGTTATTCGTGAAGTCCTGTGGACTTTGGAACACTTAGACTCGGCACTAAACTCAACCAACCACATATGGAAGTTCACATAAATCCATCTAAGGATTGACCAAGTCAAACTCACAATAGAACGAAAAGCAAGTCAATCATAGATTTAACTTCAAAATCTAAGTTTAGAAATTTCTAGCTATTAATCACATGAAATTCATTGACCAGGATGCCCTACGACTTATGCCTTGAAATTTTAACCAAAATTACATCTCCCAGTAGTTAGTAAAACCACCAAATTTTCAGCTTCAAACTCGAAATACACTATTTTATAAAATTCGAACAAGATATTAACAAAACGGGAACATCAATTTATACTTAAACTTAATGAACGAATCAGGACTTGCAAATTTAACACAACAACATACAGCATGCTAAAGTCCATGTATAACAATCTCAGCCCTTAACATTTACAGCTACTATTTTTAAAAATTCATACGAGATTCAGCAGTTCATTGAATTTAAATAAATACCGAATCGAAATGGATTTCAAAAATTCCCATCTTTTAACATAATGATTCTAAATATAAATTAGGCATCTCAGTAAAATTTCAGAATTTTTTATCAAACAACCGATTTATAAAAATTCAAACAATGTTCAGAAGATTCGATAAATAATTTATTAACCATATCAAATCAAGTCCAAAATTTCTACAACTTTAACAAAACATGTAAACATATCAGAGTCATGGCATAAACAAATGTCAGGTCATTTGAAGTACGAACCAATTTATCAAGTATTTAATAAGATTCTGACCAGAAATCACTTTATTTATTAAAAATAGCTACAGGCGTCTAAAAATTACGAATTTTTTACAAAAAGCTGGAAATGGACAGATAACATATCCCTCAAAATTTCAAGTCATTCCAAACAGTGTGCGATTTTTAAAAAATCAAACACCAAAACAGCGACATATATGCTCGACAACTTAGCAATTAATTCATAACATGAAATTTCTCGTCCGAGATCTTCCCATAAGGCCAAGGACTTGACATCGTTCCAATATCCACTGACTTACACGACTTTTGAGGTCTCGTTCAATTTCTCATAATTGAAGAGATC